ATTTTTTTCCCTCCTCATGTACCTTTTCTCCCCCCAGCTTTCATGTGCACATTTAACTACCATATTCCATATTGGATGTTTTTCAATAATATGTCATCAAATACCTATAGCGGTAGTTGTATTCAGAATTTCAAATAAAAAGATCTAATACCTGGATATCAAGGAAAAATTCCAATAAACGAAGGTTCTATCCTCTTAGTTTAAGAAGGTGACTTGTATACGGGATCAGCAATTTAAACATTACTAATTCTGATGTTAAAATACTTCATGCCCCTAAGACAATTACATAATAAGATTTATTCCACAAAAAAACAAATCCCTTCCCTTTCATAGAAATTATTTTCTTGATTTACAGAGTGGTAATAGGAGGAAGCAAGAAGGGAAACTGGTAAAGAAGAATTGATTTACAGCAGTCAGATTAACACTAAGTAGCCTGAAACCACAGCAACTTAAAACCCAACTTCATACATCCAGAAAACTCCTCTGGATCTATTTTTTAACACCAAAATGCAACCTGTCCAACAGAAACAGTTATGTGAGGTTGATATATTTTCAAATTTGCATCCTGAAAAAGTACTGTAATTGAGTAAAATGAAAACCAAGTATCTGTGGACAAATTACTTTCTGAGAATCAATAAACTCTCCTTGACTTTTCCCCAGAATACATTTCCTACTATGCAAGAATGTCAATGCTATGAAGTCTGACCTTTGGGCTTGGAAATATTTCACCCAACAAATGTCTCTCATCAACCTGAGGCCTAAGTGAGTGCTGAGATGGAGAATGAAGGTCAGAGCATCTGGGGGTGGGAACGGCAGTCATGATGGCACAGAAGAGGTGGTCCTCTGACCCCGAAGGGTTATAGGATATGCTGAATAAGGCATAATCATCATTACTTATAGGATATGAAGTTAAGGTGCTCTCCCATTAGTAAGAGTTAAAGAAAACATCCCCTACTATTAAGATTATGGACATCTGTCTATGTTTACATTGGGCCTAGCTCAAGATGGAAAATATCAAGGGAAAGATATACAATAAAGCTTAATTATATTTTCATTTTACTTTTATCATCTATGGAACTAAAAAGCCATGCTGCCTCTTGTGTCAGAATGTCTTTCTGTTGGAAGCATGAATCCAACAGAGATGGGGCCCCTTATGTCCGTCCATTCTGAAAATACATCAGATAAGGTGAATGCTATTCTATGAAGAATGACAATGTAAAATGGCTGAAAGTCTGAAAAAACTTAGATTTGATCTGACATAAAAGCATCCCACAAAATTGCTGATCATACGGTTAAACACAAGAGGTCACACACAGTTGGAGAGACCTTAATGAAGCCAGTCTTGAAGTGGTCAATGTGCTGCATGGCTTGGAGCAGAGGAAGAAACCTAAAACCGTGCCTGTCTTAACTGATATAAACAAATTCAGAATGACATTTATTTTAACATTTTGAGAAAAATCCCAAGAAGTTAGCAGCTACGTTACTTTTAATAAGTCTGCTAACTCTTATCCCAGTGTCTGGTTTTCACACTATTCTTTCATTTACTCATCAACTATATGTTGGCAACTATATTCCAAGTACTGTTTTAGGTGCAGGGAATTGAGATTAGTAAGTCAGGTTCCTGTTCTCCCAGAGCTTTCCTGCTAAGAAGGGCGATACAGACAGTAAGGCAGCAAACAAATAACTAAGAAATCATCATGTAATAAAAGCCATAAAAAATACATGTGAAAGAGAGAGAAAGTGATGATAACCTTAGACTGGGTGGACAGGAAAAGTCTCTTTGAGGAGGTGACATTTAACTGAAGGCCTAAATCATCAGAGGAGACAGCTATGTGAAACTGCAGCAAGAGTGCTCCAGACAAACTGACATCATCAGAGAAGAACTTCAAGTCTCAAGCTCCTTTCGGAAATTGCAAGAGTCATCAATATAGATTTGAAAATTTTCTTACCAAGCAAACTTTAAATGCATAAGGTATCTTATTCCTGGGAGTATAGGTGGAAAAAGTCCAACACACTTGGCAATGTATCTCATTGTGATACTTTGGTGAAAGAAAAATCATTATTACTTAATGTTTTCAGCAACAGCATACAAAAATGTCAGACACTATTTCAACAGTCCTGAGAGGAGTCTTGTCTATTTCCTTGAAATGTCGTCAGCTTCGTTAGGTCCAGAGCCTTGAACCATGACCTCTTACAAGAGGACTTATTAAGGAGTAGGAGCAGAGTAAAAAGGTTTTCTATACTACAAAAAAAAAAATCATTGGTGTGCTAAAGGCCATGCCTTGAAGCACTTGTTTGATATTTAAACCAATAATTCACATTAAAAAGTAAAAAGGTAAACTTACTTTTAGAATAATTAGAGATGAACTTACTCACGGACTGCGTTAATCATATAGCTTTCACTGACTTGAAGGCAATGTGACTTCCCAAAGTGCCTGACTTTGCCTAGCAAAACACCAAAAAGCTCTCGTTCTAATGGTTACTGCATATCTTCGTGAATTAGAGTTTTCAGCCAGAGTTGCCTCAAAAAGAAAAGATGAATCAATTGATTGGCTTACCACTGTCTTCCCTCTAAGAAGGAAGAATAGTGTGGGAGTAAAGAGCACAAATACTGAAGTCAGATTCAGGAGATTCAAATTCAGACCCAACAGTTTCTAAGTATGTAAGCTTGAAAACATTCTCTGAGCCTCAGTTTCCCCACCTGTAACGTGGATATCATAAAACCTGCTTCAGAGGTGTTTGTCAGGACTAAATGGAGTAAGGTATGTGAAGTTGTTAGCATAGTACCTAGAAGATAGTAAAAAAAAGAGTTTTTAATTGTAGACTTTATAATAATGAAATATTTAAATAGCATACATATAGCCACATTAATGTTCACTCTGTAGTCAAACAGCAACTTCTCATTAAAATATACTCAGAGCAAAATTTGGATTTTTTTCTGTTTTTTCACAAAGAGACGATTACTTTTTCATGACAGGTAAAAGTGAGAGAGGCATGATTTGTATGTTCTGTTTATATAGAAAAAACAAATTTTGACTGCAATAAAATTAATTGACCTAAAATTATATGTTTATGTATATTTTTCCAAGTAAGACATTCATAGTTTTCGTCAGTTTCTCAGAGATATCCATGACTCTCCCCTCAAAAAATAAATTTAAAAATAATTTGTATCTGTACACACGTAAAGGGATCATAGCTAGACCACTGAATAATTACAGAAGATGGGATGAGGCGGATGTAAAGTGCTGGAGGAGAATGGGGTGAAATAAGCGGGAGGATGTGAAGTGGAATGAACCAGAATTTACCAACTAAAACAAACTCTAGATAAAACGTATGGGGCAAAATAGTAACGGTAAACAGTATCAGTCTTTCCTTCTTTCTCTTTAAATGATAGGAATAACCCCTTCCTTTTCCACTGGATTTACCCAAAAACTGAGTGATGTTCTTTATATAAACAGCCAATTGAAAAGTTCTGCCAGTGCGAGGAAACGTTCCTCTTTTGTGAGGAGCTGGAATGTTCTTACTGTTAAACATGGGTTCTTTACTGTGTATTTTGCATCATCTTGGGTCTTAGCCCTCAGGAAGCTCAGGATATGTTTTTTTTTTTTTATTTAGCAACTACCCTAGCTATTGACTTTCAGGTACTTTCTATCCCCTATGCTGTCCTCTTCCTTATATTTTTGTACTTTGGTCCTTGTTTTAATGGTTCTATTGTACCTGTCTCCTCAATAAGTCAACACAAGTTTCCCTTTTAAAAGTAGATCTCATATTTTAAAAAAGAAGGTAAGAAGTAAAGAAAGTTTTCCTTAAAATACACCCTTTCAGTAAGGTCATTGAAATGTAGCAGTCTTCAGAGTAAAATCGGCAGTTCATAATTTGTTTAACCTCAAATGATTTTACAAACCTTAAACACAAACATATTTTCCCCAAGTTTAAATTTCATTATTTCTATCCTGGCACATGGTCTCATGCTAGTTCTCTAAATCTTATTAATACAGTATTCTCTAAATATTGTTCTTTGGGTGGGGGGGAAGGTTTCATTCAGCTACCATTCCATCAACAGCCAGCAGACTTGACTTCTTTTGTCCTGAACAGTGGACCTTTGCAGCCACGCACTGTTTCTGCTAGCTCCCCACCCTTCTGTCCTCCACAGTTCCTGACTCAGAGAGCAGACCACCTCTCCTCTTACCCTCTCCGGACTTGCATCATTTACCCGAACTTACCCAGTTTCCTTAGAAAACTTCTCTGTTTTTAAACAAAAGGGATTGCTCCGCACATCCAGCTTTGTATCCCTTCATGGAGAACCTCTGCAGGCCAAGTGAACTAGCATCCCAGTTATGGAAAGTCTCTGTTGTGAGTTTCTGGGGTCTTTTCTTTCCCATCATTGTTTTACACATCATTCCCCCCAACCCCCATCTTGCCTGGAGTCAGCTCTAGCACCCAACAGGTAACTAACCAATATTTGTTCAACATCCAGGAAAATAGTTTTCTAAATGATTTAGATGTCTGAATAGTTTTCTACATCTGGAAAGTGGGGAATTTGTATGCAAACTCTAAGATCATGTTATTTATAGTCTTCATGAAAATATTCCTAAACTTCCTTATTGAAACAAACTGCATTCTGTGCATTTTTGATTATGCATGTATGTGTGTGCATGTCCATAACTGTTTACCTTTATTGGATTTGGCTAAACAAATCCAACCACGTGTTATTAATTATTTTAATTATTACTCTGCTATCCGGTCAGGAGTTAAAAGAGCATAGAGGCCAATGCAACTGTTATTCGCCATGCTGCCCACTCACACACACATGTATTCATGTGCATACAACCATATGCTAGCACTCACTTGAACCTTGTCTTTTATATTTCATAGATGGCACCTTGGTGGACAGCCTCAGCCCCAGACATGGCACATACCAGTCCTGGCATGTTAGGTGGCAAGGACAGAGTCTCAATGCCTTCTGTCACACTGAGTTAAACATAGCAGGATGACATTACCTCTCTGGATCCTGATTATGGCCCTCCAAATGCCCAGTCCCAAAACAGTGGTCGTCAGCAGTCCACACACAATGGCCACCAGCACCTTGGGGTCCCACTCACGGCAGGAAGCCATGGAAAGGCCAAACCACAACTCCACTCCTATGTGAAAAACAACTACCTTCTTTTCTTCTTGAGCCAAGAAGTTTAATCAGAAACTACTCCAAAAAATAAAAATAATTCTAGAGCTGAAAAATAAAAATAATTCCTCCTTTCAGGAGCCAATCTATCAGGCAGAGATCCTCATTTTTTAGAATTTTTGAGGTTAATCAGGCAGGATGCAGTTCTGATTACCTAAAAAAAAAGGTACATGCTCTGACTGCAACTATCTCATCCTTCACTGAGTGAGAGCATAAAAAAAGTGATTGGAATCATGGGTAAAGGAAGATTACTCAGGGCAATAAATAAGAAGGGGAGGGAAGAGCTAACAGGGTCAAAGTGTAAATTTCCAGACAAGAAGAACGTGTGGAAGGTAACAAGAAAGACAAACCAGGTCAGCTCCCTGTGCTTTTGATTTAGGAGAGTCTAACAGAGGTAGACTAGCAGGCACTTCAAGGAACAAGACTCCCTCTTTGGGAAATGAAGTAGGTTGTAGGTTGTTCAGGAGAGGTAAACAGGGGCATGCACGTGATTCCGCTTTCAGGAGACCACACTGTGACAGCTGCACTTCATGAGTGGCCTTTACTGGCACAGGGTGAATTCTGAAAAGCACTAAGGCCCAGTATTACAACTTACTTGTTCAGGGCTGAACTGTGTCCCCTTAAAAATTTGAGCATTGAATTTGAAGTCCTAATTCCCAGTACCACAGACACTAACCTTTTTTGGAACTAGGTCGTTTCAGAGATAATCAAGCTAAAATGAGGTCATTAGGGTGGGTGCTATTCCAGTATGGGTGGTGGCCTTCTAAGGAGATTTGGGAGAGGAGGTCCAAGATGGCCACATACGAAGACTCCCCATTTCCACAGACACACCAATTCTACACCTGCACATAGAGCAATTCATCCTGAAGAACTGAGGACTTATTGAACAGCTTCTGCATAAGGCTGGAGACCACACAGAGCCTGGCAGGAGCCACAAGCACAATGGGTGCCCTACCCCCAACTCTAGGAACTGAGAGGGAGGAATAGCACTGAGGGACCCAGCACAGACTCACCTGCCCCGGGGCACAGGAAAAAACCTCAGTTTCAAGGGCAACTAGAATATAAGTGAAGGAAACCAATTTACTAACCCTTGAGCTTCTGCCAAATGGTGGGGGAACTGCTGAACGCTCTCAGGGGTCAGAGGTGCCGGTGTAACCATTGTTACCTTCCCCCTCCTCCTTGATAGCACAGATGGGAGCAGGGGCTGAGGGCTCTAGCCAGCTTCCCACCTCAGCAAGCCCTCAGCCTCTAGCCCACACCAGGTCCAGCTGTTCTGCATGGCAGCGCTAGGGCAGTGCACACTGACACACACCCGAGCCTACACCCAGGACACCTAAGGCTGTCTTGCGGGGGTGCCCCCTGCACAAGGCACCCTGTGACCCCCTGGCCCATGCCTACTTTGGTTCTGGCTATCTCACAATGGTGTCCCTTGCACTGAGCACCCCTGGCACCCCCAGCCCATGCCCACTTCAGTTCCTGCTGTCCCAGCGGGGTGGCCCTAGCATGGAGCACCCAGGGACCACCAGGCCTGCACCCACTACAGCTCCCATCAATCATCTGCAACTGCCAGGCTCATGCAGGCTACTCAGGGCTCCTTGCTACACAAGGCCACTCCTTCAAGACGGGGAGAGGTAGCTGTTTCGCAGAAACAAACACAGAAAGTCGAACAAAATGAGGAGACAGAGGAATATGCTCCAAATGAAAGATAAGTAAAAACTTCAGGAAAAAAACCTAAACAAAACACTTAAGCAAGCTGAGAAAGAGTTAAATTGGTTATAAGATGCTCACCTGACTTGAGAGAAGAGCAAATTAGGTATCTGTGGTGGAGGTAGAGAGGAGCAATAGTCCAGAGCGGATGTCAGAGCCCAGTAGGGTAAGGAGGGGACATCTATGAGGGAGGGCAAAAAGTCAGGGAGAGCCCGGCATGGGCATGAGATGTCAGCCCCTAAGCAGAGTGAATACGGTATCCGTGTGATGGGAAATGATGGCCGGCAGCAGGTGTCAGGACCAAGGAGCGAGCAAGGTGTCCAGGTGAGGGACGGCTCAGTACAAAAAATCACAGCCAGATCAGGGAGTGGAGGGCATTCCTTCAGAGACTGAGAGGGATCAGGGGGGCATGTGCACGGGTAGGCTGGCTGGCGTGGGAAGTCAGAACTAGAGTTGAGTGAGAAGGGTGCCCACACAGGGTGGCCCCTAAGGATAGAGAGTTAGACCCCAGTAGGGAGAGAAGGGTATCCGTACGTGGGTGGTGTGGGCTGTTGATCAGAGACTGTCACACACAGGCTGATGGGTCAAACAGATAAACATGTCAGAAAAAAGGGAGCCAGTTCCTCACTCTAGGAGAAGGGAGTTACAAATACGAAAAGGGAGAAAACTTGAATTCAATAAGAATTTTGAAACAGGTCATCAAAAATATGGAAGAAAAGCTACAGGCTGCTAATTTTGAAGGAACCGATATCCTTCAGGGAAAATGGTTTTCAGACCAGTGCATGAATGCAGTCATGAACTTATATCCACAAGAAGAAAACTGATGACTACAACAGAGTTGAGTATTTCAAAGGAAGTTCTTTTTCCACATCTCATTCTCAACACTTGAACTAAATAATTTCCACTGTGCCTTAAAAAAATAGAAACCTAGAGTGTTGAACTAGAATTGGATGTGTGTATGGGTATAGACTCATGGTTTTCAACATATATATATATATATATATTTTTTAAATAATACATATTTCAATGTATATTCAAAAACACATTTTATATATATAACAATATATAAAATATAGATGCAGAAGTGTCCTGTATGCACACAGATTTATATATGTACATTTATAATATATATGACACATTTACAAACAGATATTCTCTATTTCCAGCTGCTCAAAGGTTCTGAAAGCAGAGACACCCATTAGCATTAAGCACACATAGAGCTCAGATCTTGATTTCTAAAAACAATTTTCCACTAAAAGGAACATTGCTTCTTGTAAAAATGGCTAATTCCAAGACTGGAGCAGGGAAAATCTAAGATGAGTCTAGACTATCTCATGCCAGAAAGCAAAGAAATGTTCAAGGAGTGATGGGTATGCAGCAAATGGACACAAAGTGACTTCCCATTACCAAACAGGGACAGTTTGAGCATTCACAGATTTATTATCCATTTGTAAATTTATAACAGATTATAACCCATTAAATAAAATAGAAAACTTACTGTATCTGAAACTCTGGGGGTGAGCTCAGAAATCTGCATTTTAACCAGTCCTTCCACTTAATGCCTCCTGAATTTTGGTAACTGCTGTTCTGCGTGTACTTCTCTCAAAGGAAATAATCTCCCAAAGGAATTTGCAGTAAATTAGTGAATGGCAAGAAATTAAACGGCTTTTTGTGTAATCAGATATTCCTTTATTAATGTTTGTGGGAAATGTTATGGCTTTAATGATTGCCAGATTTTCAGATAAGCCTGATAAAATTCATGAGGAGCATATATTTCTGCCATTTGTGACACCACTGTTCTTTGTTTTATCTTATTCACTTATTAAACCAGATTTGAAATAAGCTTGTACCCAGAAGCATCAAGAAGTTCTGAGATCCCTTTTGTTTCCCTACAATCTGGACTGTGACCCCAATGGAGAATTAAGTACATAGAAACTAGCTTACCTTACCTCCCATTATATTGATGACAAAGGCCAATTGCAACTTCCCCACATGTTACAGCTCAGACTTTCTCCACTGGAAACCCTTCCACTTCATTTGCTACACCTTCATTAGCTAAAATCTCTAAGCTACTATTAACAGAGAAACCCTTGAATTCACCTGTTTGTATACCTATACAACCCTACCCACTCTGTTTTACTAGGTGGTCCATGGAGAGCAGGGAGAAAGATACCAAGAAAGCTTTCCCAGGCCAAGAGGAAGTCACCAAGTCACTGACCTTTCTTTGCACCTTTTCACTACCCTCTTCTCTATATGCCTTTGTTCTTCAGATGCCTTCTTTGCTCCCCAGAGACAAGTGTTCCAGATAGGACTTTGAAGGCTGATTGCTTCATGGGGGTAAAACATCATTTTGTGAAAAGTATCTCACTGAATACTAGTAGAAGTTTGCTGCTTCTAAAACTAAAATACGTGTCCATGGAAGATGCAGGACTCTGATAAATGTAACCCTGAATCAACCTCTCTGTACTCCAGAAGATGAAAGAAAAGGAAGCCTCAAATTCTTTTTTAGTTTTAAATTTACTTCTGCCTTGCTCCAAAGATCTGCAGTTCTTCTCTTCCTCTCTTCTGACTTGTTCCTTTTAGGCTTCTTGTTTTCTCCTTTTTTATCTCTTCCCTTTTCACATCCCCCAGATCTGAGCTGATGACCACAGGTATGTGGTCAAGATTGAAAAAGGAGGAAAATGGATACCTGTGATTAGGTTGAGAGGCATAGAGCAGGAAATTGTTTGATTCTCTTCTTTGCTCTCTGAAAAGCCTGATTCAGGTTAAAGGAGAACCCAGAATTTATGGTAACTAAACAAGAGCTTCGGCCAAGAACATCAGTCCCGTGTAACACTAGTCCTTCTGAAAATAGTAGTATGAAATCATAAGCTTATCTGAGGCAAGATGAGTTGATATTTTCAAGGTCCTGCATAAAATAGTGCTATTGTTTTCACTGTGACATGATAATATTCCAGATCCTAAATTTGTCCATTTATAATTATTTTACAGGAATCATTGGTAGAAATATCAGTTATCTACCGTTGCATAACAGGCCACTCCAAACCTCAGTGACTTAAAACACCACCATTTGTTTGCTCATGATCTGGTACTTTGGGCAGGACTCAACAGGGATGGCTTTATTCCACATATTCATTTATCCAAATCATCTGGAAGTTCAACTAGAACTTCAAGGATCCAAGATGGCCTTTCTCACATGTCTGGGAGCTCAGCTGAGATGACTGGAAAGGCCATTGAATAGCTGTCTGTCCTACCTCATGGCCTTTTCTCCTCCTGGGCCTCGTCCTCTTTGAGGTCTTCTCAGCAGGACAACCTTGCTGCCCTCACATGTGGCTGGGTTCCAACACAGCAGCATTATGACCTGCAGGACTCTTAAGGTCTAGGATCATAATTTGCTCCATTTCACTCTTTTCACCACATTCTATTAGTCAATGAAAATCACATGGCCAGTCCAGATTTGATACTGGAGGGGC